TATAAAGGGTGAGACGAAAAAACTGCCACCAACTTCAGACTGCTGTCATTTCTAAACCACTCGTCCAACAGCTGTTAAATTTATTCCAGTGACAGCTTATTATATTGTTTACAAGCGCACAAAACAATTTTAGTGAGAATTTTCCAGAAAAAAAGTTATTCGTGATGGAATTCAAGCGGAAAACTACAAGTGGCTATCGTTAGAGCACTCCAGCATTTAAATGTGAATAAATCTTTTGTGTCTTGCACCATCGCTCATTACCGTGCTGCCGTTGCTGGTAGCGTAGCCCGACGTCAAAGAAGTGGGCGGAAGAAAATAGCAACATCAGCAGAAATGGTTCGAAAAGTAAAGAAGCTTTTTTGGAAAAAAAGAGCCAAAATCGAACGAAGTCAACCTAAAACTCCTTTGTTTCTCTACGAAGAAAAAAAAGAGTACGCCTACTCTTCATAACTGACCCTAGTGCAAGATTTTAAACGACTTGATCGAAACCCGCGTCGCAATGGCCGAAATATGGCTCATGAGCTGAATATATCGGCAAATATTGAAAAATGAGCTCGGGGTAAAGCCATTGAAATTCCAAAAAGTGCAAGAACTTACACCGCAACAGAAAGAAAATAGACTTAAAAGAGCTAAAGAGTTGCTTATCTTGGCCGAAAGTGGTGAACTGCCGAATTTGGTTTTGAGAAAACATTCGATGTCCAGCAGTTTGTAAACAAACAAAATGGTCGTGTATACTTGCCAAAGAGGTCAGCTGAAAATGTGCACCTTCAGTTGGCCACCAGAACTCAAGCGCCGGTCATGGTGATGGCCGATGGTCACCCTCCGCTCGTATCAATCGATCGTGGCATCAGAATAAATGCCGAATATTATAGCGAAAATATTCTGGAGGGTGTATAAAAGCCTTGGGCACGCAAACATGTTGGCCGCAGATCTTGGACATTCCAACAGGACTAAGCGCCATCGTACTCAGCACGCGCCACTTAAGAATGGTTACAAAATGAGGTTTCTCGCTTCATTTCCAGCGCACAATGGCCACCAAAATCTCCGGATACCAATCCGTTGGACTATTGTGTCTGGAATATTTTGGAAAGCAAGGTTGGTAGGTTGACTAAAAAATACCACAGTGTCATCACCTCGAGCAAGCGCTTCGCCGGGAATGGGCCAAAATACCGCAGAGCAGCATTTGAATGTTTCAGTGGCCGTTTGAAGGCCATAATTCGTGCCAAAGGTGACCAATTCGAACAAATCTAAACTTATTCTAAAATTTGATGCTATTTCCGACATTTTTTGCTTTCATTCAATAAAATTAAAAAAAAGTAAAAATTATGTCGTTTGACTGTGATGCAGTTTTTTTATATCACCCTGTACTTTTCAACCTCACTCCAAAATTTAAGTCTTGAGCTCTTTACAATCGCATAATAGCAAATCATGCCGTTTTAGAATTTTAGTTCTGTTTTAGAACTTTTCGTAAGCATAAAGTTCAAATTTTCCAATCGCCTTTGAGACATCTATTTTTCACTCCATCAGTGATTCTTCTGCCGCAAAAATGAACTGTCAAAAAATCAACATTAAAAATATATATTTTTTTTCAATTTTATCAAAATGCAGCGACCACCGTGCATTGGCAACCCTGTCTAGAACTATTAATTAAGGCATTCAATCGTTTCATTAAAAAAATAACACACTGCGCATGCGTAACTGCGCATCAACAGCAACTGGCGTTGGCCAAATGCTTTCGTTGCTTACTTGTTTTGATTAATGTCTCTCTTCGTTTTAGAACGCCAACTAAAGAAGTAAACATTTAACCGGTTTAGAATAGCTTGCAGACACGCAAAATCACACCGTCGCACACTAAACGGCAAAATTGATTAACGTAACGTAAACGTTTTGCTGTTTTGCTTTTGTTTTTCTTTATTTTTTTTTTTCAATTTCTAAGAATCAGGTCAAGGTTAGTTTAACATAATAAAATAAAAATACAATCATTCGTTCCTTGGAGAAGCTCTCAGCCCCTCCACATACAGAGAGCTCCGATCGGAGCCAATCATTGATCATGCACACATGCGCACTATTCCGGTTTTCTTGAACCAATCAACGTAAATCATTTTGTGTGAGAGAATGAGAGAGTGTACAACTCTGAAACAAGTTGGAAGCAACACGTTTGATGGGTGTTGTGGTGGATTTCAAACGGCAAGAGCAAAGACGTATCGTTTGTTCTCTTAATAAAAATGCTATGACACAATTGAAAGAGTATGTGTTAAATATTCTTTTTTAAGCAATTTTTACTAAGCCATTTAAAGAGTCAGCCAGATTGGTAAAACGATTAATTTGTACAAAAAGTACTAAAATGTACTAAAAACTTACTACTTTCTATTGGACAAACGGATGAAGGACAGGACAGATGAACAAAAAGGGTTTTTGGAAATTCAAACTTAAAGAGTACGAAAAGTTCTGAAATGGTACCATTATGTAAAATAGTACCTATTATGTGAACGAATAGAGCTAAAAACTTGAAATTTGGTATGCGAATCAAAGTTGGAAAGTAAGTTTGGAAGTGGTTGGAATATATCTACCATGGCACAATGAAAAGAAGGTAGGTCAACTTTGAAAAAATTGCAAGTATAGAGGTCTACCTGATTGGCTTGTAATGTCAGAATTATTATCAAAACAATAAAAAAGCAAACAACTTGTTGCATTGATTTTGAATAAATAATTTAAAACTGCGAAAACTGAATGAATGGTCAAAATTTCTTTTCAATATCATGTTCTATATATCTCTTATGGTTTATTTCGCGACAAAAACTGTAGATTTTGTCGATGCATTCGTTGCAATAAGCATTTTGAAAACACCCGAATTTGAATATTTTCTGAATAATTTTTTTATTATTGAAAAAATACACACACATAAACATATGAAGTTGACATATTAAGCCAGAAAAATAAAAAAAATTGAAATCATATGGTTGTTCTGCCCTACCTTGAATTCATTGTACCATGATATCTACTAAGTGTGTACTAAATGTGGAACAGTTTGGTTTACGGTGAACAGAATTTTGAAATTTTTTATATTGATAGGTTTGTGATAAGGAGGGGCGATTTAGAAATGTGTAGTACCAGTGCAGGAAAAGTACTATAGTACTATATTCGGTGAACATATAGTGCTTGAAATCTAAAATTTAGTATTAAGGTCGGTGTTCATGTGTAGCCTGGACATATGAAGGTGGTTTCAGAAATATGTACGAAAAGTACTAAATGGTACTAAATTTGGTATTGGCTGAAGCGATAGAAATACAATTCTGAAATTTAATATTCAGATTACAAATGGTTTTTGGAAATGCGTCCTATATTTGTACGAAAAGTACTAAATGGTACTAAATTTGGTATTGAGTGAAGGAATAGAACTGAAATTCTGGAATTTTATATTGAGGTCACTGTTGGTTTCCACGGTTTACGTATGGAGTTGTTGAAATAGTTTTCGATAGAAGACTTGAACGTTTGCCCATTGTGCTAATATCTTCCTCCGAACTTCAAATAATATCTAAAACCTTGAAAGTCTTAAAATTAAGTACGATATATGGAAATACAACAAAATGTACTTTTTGAATACCCTCCACAGTTCGGAACGAATTTGGCAATTTTCAAAAAATTAAGAGCCGTTAAAAAAATCTTTTATATTATGGTCTTTACGACGACGTAGACCTGCATAGGCAACTATTGTCATAAGCCATAACAAATTTGAAAACAAAATTCGATGAATAATGTCGCTAAAATCATCAAAATACCGAATATCGGTAGGTGACGTTATATGGGGGCTAAACAAAGAACTGAACCCGCATATGCAATTTTCTGTCATAGACTATAGTACCCATTAGGAACTACAAATACGAAATTTGAAACAACTCCGGTGGATAATGTCGCTAAAATCATCACAATACCGGATATCGGATGGCGACGTTATATGAGGGCTATACGAAGACGTGCACAGGCAATTATCTCTCTTAGGCTGTAGCATCTATTACGAACTTCAAATACTAAATTTGAACCATTCCAGTGAATAATGAATAATCATCAAAATACAGAATATGGGGAGGTATCGTTATATGGGGGGCTATACGAAGACGTGGACCTGCACAGACAATTTTCTGTCTTGGGCTGTAATATCAATTACGAACTTCAAATACAAATTTATAACAATTCCGGTAAATAATGTCGCTAAAATCGTCAAAATACCGAATTCGGGAGGGCTATACCAAAACGTGGACCTACATGGCCCATTTTCAATACCAAAAGTACTGCAGGCATAATATACTTTTGAGTAAAATTTGATCAACTTACATACTTCATTTCCTTCGGAAGCTAGAGTGATTTCCACAGACAGACAGGAGCACTGACATCGTTAAATCAACACAGAATTTTATGCTAATTAAAAATATATATACTTTGGGGGTCTAAAATGTATATTTCGAGGTGTTACAAACTTAATATACCCTCCATACTATGATGGAGGGCATAAAAAGGAAAATTTCCTCCTCTTTGGAGCTACTTAGAAGATTGTATCAGTTCATTTCAACGCATTGGGTGGAACTTGTTTGTCAATCAGATTTCTGAAACGCATTACAAGTTATTTGATACTTATGGCCTTTAGGCTATAGTCTGCAATCTGATTTGGGCGATGTGGATATTATATTATATAAGTAAAAGGCCTACATGATCAAAGTTTCAATTACAACACTGACTTTTTTTCTAATTTTCATTGTACAGGTTAAGCCCTTTTTATTTTGTTTTATTGTGATGATGCTATAAATAATTATGTGTGTGTGTGTGTGTGTGATTTCTTTCCTACGCTTTCACTCTCCAAGTCATTCATTGATGGTTACGATTAAAAATGTATGTATGTATGTATGTAAATATATATATTTATAGATATCTGTAATAAATATACGTATTTGTTCTCTTATTTCTGCATTTTCTTCCTTCCCCTCGAGGACAAAAAGAAGTATGACTATAGTTGTGTCCATTTTAATTACATGTGTTAAAACTAAAAACAAAATAAATTAGTTCGTAAAACGTATTAGAAACTTCGGTGCAACCAGTATAAGTGGTTTTTGGTTTTGTTTTAGTAATGAGTTGTAATTAAATAAATATAGGTATAGATGGATTAGTAGGTTATTTAAGGAAGCGAGAGCTCATCTCTGAGTACAAAATGATAATGAGAAAAGCTTTGAAAGCTTTCGAAGCGTTTCTTGTTGTTTTTTTGTTACAATACAATAGTTGCGTTCAATGACAGTTACACCAATTAGATTAGAATTGTTTTCTTTTGTCCATAAACCAAATTAACAATAAATTTTTGTATAGCTAACTGATGTATAACAACACATTATACAATTTGACTGTACATATGCGCCGCAATTGTTTCTGTTGTTGTATTTTTTAGCCGGTTTGACATTGGACCCTTTCGAAGTGTGGACCGCCCTCGTATTCGTCATCATCGTCCATGCCGCCGTAAGCTCCCCGGCCTTCGTAATCTTCGCGGGGCTGGAATTCAACAAGTTGCACTTCTTCGGCTTCTGGCGGCATTGTAAAAGGTTCTCTGGGAGGCAGTAGCGTCTCAAGCTTGGCCAATTGTTTCTGGTGTGGCAAAATCGTTTTCGGGAAATTGTATAGAAACTGTACCATGAGGTCGCCACGATCAAAGGGATTATTACGCAATGGCATACCCTCAGTCGGTACAACTTTCAGTTCGCCATGACGTAGAACCTCGCCTGGTTTCGTGGAAATACAAATGTTACGACCATCCAGATGCTTGAAGCAGTGGACAAAACCACAAAGGGCCTGCGTTATGTTGATGTTGACATTACGCATAAGAAGATCGTTTTGACGCCGCTCGAATACAGGATGCTCCGCTTGAATAAGTACTACAACCATGTCGCCTCGCGATCCTTGCACCCCTTGATTTCCTTCGCTCACAAATGGTATTTTTAACATATTAGGGGCACCCTTTTCAATAACAATTTCCCGTTTCACATTCTCCTCAACTAGACCTTTTCCAAAGCAGCTGGTGCAGCGCATAGCCTCTGGTATAATTTTTCCATGTCCATGGCAAGCCGTGCAGATCTATTGCAGAGAATTACACAAAATTGCTTAGTATTCGAATTTGTTGACTTTTTATTTACCGTTTCGCCTGTCGTAACACCGAGAAAAAGATAGCTCTCAGTTTCTGCCCCGACCATTGCAGTGACTGCACATTTCTTGGCACTCCTTGGGACCGCCTTCGCCATTGCACTGCGAGCAAAATGATGTCCTTTGTATTCAACTGTCTTGGCCACATTGCCATTGTACATTTCTTCCAAAGTAACTTCAAGACGAATGGAGATTTGGGCGGCCTTCCCCCTTGCCTCACGGCCATGTCCACCCATAGCCGTAAAGGGAAACCATTGTGAAAAGAACGCATTTCCATCGGCGAAGCCATCCGCGCCCTCCTGCAAACCCTTGATTCCATAGCGGTCGTATATTTTTCGTTTCTCTGGATCTGATAATACCTCGTAGGCAAAAGATATTTCCTTGAATTTGTCGCCAGCATCAGGGTTTTTATCTGGATGGAATTCCTTAGCTAGTTTGCGGTAGTTCTATGGTTAAACAAAAACAACATCGAATTAGTGGGCATTTAAATGTAACGGTCATTTAGATTAAGATACAAGAGACAGTGTTGTTCAAAGTGGTAGCAGCCCCGGTGCATTTGCAGCGAATGACGTTTGGAGAGCGCAGAAATGTATGAATCAATAATTTGTTCTCTTTCCCTTCTCCTTTTACGATTCTCTTGTTCATTTAAATGTATGAGAAATGTTAGAATTACTTGAGCAATTCTAGACATGACTAAGAAAATAATTGGACCAACTTCACCAATATTGGCATTGATGTTTGCACTATAGCCTTATCGTTTTTCAGACCAGTGTTGGTACTTTTCCAACGCCTCCACCGCCCACTTCTCCAAGATTTCACAGCAAAAAAATCAACTAAAAATATGAATGAAGAGTAGTCTTACATGAATGAAAACTATTACCTTTTTTATTTCGGCATCTGATGAGTCTTTAGTTACACCCAGAATTTCATACAAATCAAGATTATCCATTCTCTGTGTATATTCACACCCCCTTTTGTGTGATGTCGAAGTTATTTGATGATATCCTGTTAAATAAACGCCGAGCTCAATTTATTTCCTTGAAACATAAATAAAGAATGGTTGAAGAATAGAGTTGACAAAATTTCGATAGCACTACCTAGCGACATTGTCCATGTTCAATTTTTCTGACTCAGTATCGATTAATATTTTTTCTACCGATATTATCGAAAACGTTTCACCATTAGCAAAATTAAGGGAATTATTAAAGCCTTATTACGCCAAACATTATTTAAGGTGATAATACATACAAATCTTTTTTCACTGACTTTGTTCCTCTACGAAGAAGCTAGTCAAAAAAGCGTTTTATGTATTCTCACCTTTAAGGTGAAAAAATATAAATTTCAACAACAACCATATAGACATTTTTATACCCTCCGCCATAGTATGGAGGTTATATTAAGAGTGTCATTCCATTTATAACACCTCGAAATATACATTTTAGACCCCACAAAGAATATATATTCTCATATATCATATATCAGCATAAAATTCTATGTCGATTCTATCCATCTGTGGAAATCACTCCAACTTCCGATCGAAATGAAGTAGGTTGATAAAATTTTACTCAATTGTGTATTATGTCTGTAGGACTTTAGGTATAATCAGTATTTTGGTGATTTAAGCGACATTATTCACCGGAAATGTTTCAAATTTGTTATTTGAAGTTCGTAATGCTACAGCTTATGACAGAAAATTGTCTGTACAGGTCTACGTCTTCGTATAGCCCCCATATAACGTACCTCCCGATATTCGGTATTTTGATTATTTTAGCGACACTATTCACAGGAATTATTTCAAATTTGGCATTTGAAGTTCGTAATGGATAAGACAGGCTATATACATATAGCCCCCATAAAAGGTACCTCCCTATATTCGGAATTATTCACTGACATTTTTCATTCATGTTTCGCATTTGAATATTGTAATGGTTTATGACAAAATCTGCCTATACAGGTCCACGTCGTCGTATAGACCCTAATATAACGCCTACATTCGGTATTTTTAAGATTTTATCAGAATTTTTAACGGATTTTATTTTCTGGAAAATTGCCAAAATCGTTCCAAATGATGGAGGGTATTCAAAGATCAGCGCGGCCGAACTTACTGCTTTTTTACTTGTTTATTGTAAGTATCGGTAGTACCAATGGTAGAATAAAGGTAGTCGCATCGACACAGCTGCTGGGACAATGAACCGATTTTGGAAGTGAAATTTTTGAATGAAACATTATTCAAATTTGTAAATACATCCCATTGTTGGAAAAGAAAACATATACAAGTCGACTTATTTGTAAAAAAATGTTTAAAAAATTGTATCTATGCTTCCAAGCTTTGATACATCTACCAGCTTTCTTCTACCATGCTAGTGCCAAAAATGTAAATAATATTTCTAAAAATGTAAATAAAACCATAAGTTATTTAAAAATTTTACATTTTTGACATTTGGATTATTAAATTAAAAGTACAGAGAACTTACAATAATGCTTAACTATAAAGGTGTGAGTACATAAGCAGCTTGAAGTCTTCGATGGCAAATTTTTTGACATATCACAAGAGGATGTCAGAGGCGCAATCGAATCCTGCCGTCGTTTCCCCATATAATTTGGCATTATGAAGGTTATGAAAGCATTAAAGTGGCGTTACATCATGATTTTTCTAAAATTTTGACATTTAAAATATATTTCTTTATTTGGCTATTTTCCAATTCAATTCGATATGCAAACTAACAAATATGTGCCTTTTTTCTTTCCAAGTTTCTGCGGAAATTCGAAATTGAATTTTTCGTCACGGCATTTGCAAAAACAATAAATAATTATATCTTCCATGACATTCTCTTTTCCAGATACTACGTTCTTGTAGTTCTAGAACAGAACAATACAATATTTTTGTTAATTTTTGCTTCATAATCGTTTGTTATCCTCTTTCCTTTAGGCAATATCAAATTGTTTTTCAGTAATATTCAATTATTTTTCTTTTTCATTGTTCGTAAGGTAAAAGGACTGTTGTAAATTGACCTTGGAAATACAACAAACTAAAATAGGTTGACACATTTCAATTTAGCTTCATAATTGGTCTGTTCCAGATCTGTAAGAATGTTATATCCATTTTTACTTTATGATATCGAAAAAAAATTGCAAAAATCTGCAAGCAAAAAAAATAGTAGCTATGACAAAAGCCAGCCGATTAAGTGCAGCTTGATTTATTTCAGTTTCATCTCATATTTTAACAACTTTTTTTTTTAAAAAAGCCAGCCCATAACTTATTCAAAAAAATTCTTATGTAACCCCCCTTTTTATCGTTTCTTTCGGTTTTCATATTGTACGGCTCTTCAGCAACAAAATTTTTTATTAGGTTTGTCTGATGAAAATTTTGCGCGTTATAGTCGAAAGAAGTTGACACGTTATATGAATGCGTGAGTTTATTATATGCGATTTCTACAATCCTTTATACAGATTTGATAGTTTATGTGTAAAACACATGTCATCTGATAGTTTATTTCCTATTAAACAAAACGAAATAGGATTCGTGACGGTATTACTTGATCGATAGTGTGTACTC